ACACACACACACACACACACACACACACACATATATATATATATATATATATATATATATATACATACATACATACATACATACATACATGCATACGTACATACATACATACATGCATATATATATATATATATATATATATATACAATATAGTAAATATCAGCATACGATTATCATGCTCACGGGCTTGAATGGCTAAAATAAACCCCTCTCTCTCTCCCATATCGTATACACTACGATTGTGCGTAAGATGTTTAAATATCAGCATGCCATTATCATGCTCATGGGGTTGAATGGCTAAGATACCCCCCTCTCTTGCTCATATATCCCGCACCCACTACAGGGTGTGCTGGAGTTCTATAGACAACTGGACATTGGTCCAAATGATGAGAGTGGAGAGTGGAATAAGGGCCGTCTGGGTAATCTGGTATGCGACAACTACTGCCTCGGCTTTAGCCAGGGTCTACTTCTTCACAACCCGTCCAATTGGGTAGCCTAACACTGGTACAAGTACCAATTCTCAACAATGCCCTATCTGTCTTGCCCTGTGCCCATGCGAATACGGACGTACTGTCCATCTAGTGCCGTATGTGTTGATCTAATGTTTGTGCTCAATAGAACAGGGTTGAAGCTATGTTAACGCTATGTTGAATGGTTAACGCTATGTTTGAAGCCATGTGAACTTATGTTTGTTGAACGGTTAACGCTATGTTTGAAGTCATGTTAACTTATGATGAACGGTTAACGCTATGTTTGAAGTCATGTTAACTTATGTTGAATAGTTAACGCTATGTTTGAAGTCATGTTGGCGCTATGTTTGAAGTCATGTTGACGCTATGTTTGAAGTCATGTTAACTTATGTTGAACGGTTAACGCTATTTTTGAAGTCATGTGAACTTATGTTTGTTGAACGGGTAACGCTATGTTTGAAGTCATGTTAACTTATGTTGAACGGTTAACGCTATGTTTGAAGTCATGTTAATGCTATGTTTGAAGTCATGTTAACTTATGTTGAACGGTTAACGCTATGTTTGAAGTCATGTTAACTTATGTTGAACGGTTAACGTTATGTTTGAAGTCATGATAACTTATGTTGAACGGTTAGCGCTATGTTGAAAGCTATGTCAAAGCTATATTTTGTGTTGTAGTCCCATTTATAATTATAGTAATGTATTTTGTGTTGTAACCCCATTGATGTATTCAATTTATAATAATATTAACTGCACAGGTATTCCTGTCAGCTCGACCGCATGTGTACAAAGACGTTGCGGAGAGGGCGTCATACAATCTGTTCCAGAAAATGAGAACCGAACGAGGTAGGTATAACTAAACTCTGATCTGGACGCTTTATGATATGTTTTAGAGTTTTAGTATAAACATACCCTACATGTCTGTAAAAGGAAGTAAGCACTTACCTACAGTTCTCGGGGGTTCGGGTACCACCGATGCCCATGTAGCTTTGTCCCTTATCTTTCCCTTGTTATATCACTACGAATATTGCGATACCCTGTGTACAGAAACCTTCCAATCGGAATTCATTCCAACGCATTATACTGTAGTACAGTTTATATGGAGGATGTGCATGTGTAGGTATGGATATATTTATCATACACCGTATTAGCCACGACGACATGACTCATCTCATAACCTATTGTTGACTATATTCAGGTTTATACTGCAATCCAACGATGCTGGCTGGCCAGGTCACCATGGAAACCATGCGATCGATGAATTTGGAATTGGGCGGCAAAGGGCTGCATTTGGCCAAATTCGCCTCGATCCTTAACAAGAAGTTGAGCAATTTTGAAGAATTCTGGTATGTGCCTGTTGTAGGTGATGGTTCTTAGTGTGACCTAGCTTGTCAAGATGGAGTGTTCAGTAGCTGCTCGAATTTGATATATATATATATATATATAGTACCATTCTGAGTCGGAGA